AAAATCAAACTCCCAATGATTTCCTGCCTCTTTCTCCCGGGAGATTTCAAACTCACGGCGGAGGAGGGAGTCGGCTATGGTGTTGGAGCAATAGAGCTCTTCAACCATGGCTTCGACAGAAGCAGAATTCAAAGCATCTTCTTCTACATCTTTTTCTGGGTATGAATCAAATTGAGAGTAGAAGTGGGCATCGGCTGTCATGTCTTCAGCAAAAGCAGATTCCCAATCAACTTCGATCTCTTTCTCTTGTGGGATATCAACTTGAGAACAAAGGAGAGAATTCATAATTTCAGCGTCAGAGCAATAAAGCTTCCCAGCTTGAGAGAAAGTGAGGATCCCGATTTTGGCTCCGGATAAAATCGAGAGCTCCTCCGCCTTCTTAAACAGTCCTTTACGACGCTTTGAAAAGCAAACCATTCGTGCTTCGGCCTTCTCTATCAATTTATTATCCAACTTTTTCCTTCCTTTTCCGGCCATGAAGATGAACACTTTTTTGCAGACAGAAATTGGGAAATCGTAAAGAGGGCAGAACTCAGGAGAAAACGAGAAACAGAGATAGAAGTTTTTGAACCGCATGTAAGCTATACGAACCTCGGTTATTCTTCCATTTTATAAACACTGCCTCATCGGCTCTCAACGGTCAATGTCATTTTGGCGGAAATCATTCTCGCTAATTCAAATTTAATTTTCCCATTTCCCTTAACCTAACGGTCCAATTTTTTATTTCCGTCAGAATTTTATCATGTTTCGTTTTTTGCTGTCAAGTTACTTTCTAAATTTTAAAATTTATTTAGGAATTGATATTTATATTTATTGACTCAGAATTTATTTTTTTTTCTTTCGTAAATGATTAATAAATGATTAGGCATTTAATGTTTTATTAAAACTATTAATGATAAGACATCTTCAATTGATTAAGGTATAGTTTACCGGTTAATAATTATCATCAGATTTGTTTTACGGTTAAAAATAGTGCTATTTGTTCAAAAAGAAAAGTATTATTTGAAATATGCGATCTGTGACTGTATATTATATCCTTTTTGATGAAGATGTATGAAGGGTACGAACCATAAGCAATATTGCGTTCTCATAAGCTCCATAAGCCACAATTACAGCACTTCAATTATGTTGCTGCTCATTACTTTCTTTCACATGAAGATGTTTGATGGATGTGAACAGTTTTCTGCTTATTATTAAGTACTTCCTTTTGCATGAGCATTTATTTTGCTTCTCTCAATCGTATTAAAAGAAGTAAATAATAACCTTCTTTTATAATTGAGGCTATGAAGATCATCGGGTCTGATCACTCTCAGCCCTCCCATTCTGCTTAGACAAGTTAAAA